TTAATCAGTTTCGTTTATGTAGAGGAGGGGAGGGAGGTGAGTCCTTTGTGAGTCAGACTGACTGCATCCTGTGCCAGGGTTGCCGAAGAACACAGAGCTGAGACATAACTACCCACATGCACAGATGCACACACAAACTAAACAGGACTTATTCCCTTCTTCTGGAACAATATCCAAAGAGCAAAAGGCATAAAAGCTGATGCATGCTCACATACTTATACATGAAAAGGTATCATATCAATCTCCTTGTAGTTTTCTAGATATTCATAGGGCAAATCTAGGTGTACCTCTGTGCCTCAACTGTTGTGGAGCAAGCCCTGGCAGCTTGTTATGCAACAACTCCTTATCCCCAAGGTAGTTGGAAAATATCTATTCTTCCAAAGGAACTCTCAGTGTCAGTCAGAAGGCTATTGTTTTTTTGTTTCTTGGTGAAGGGAGGGGCAATCAGAGAAGGTATTTATATTACATCTACAAGTTCTATCCCCAACAACTGGAACAACCTTTGTTTAGAGTCAAGAGTTGCATGTATTTTTCTATTCTGTATTAATGAGAGAGAAAGTAAAGAAAAGGAAGATTACAAGTGAGACAGGAGTGATGGGAAAACAGAGAAACCCACTGAGGGCTCACCAAAGGTTTATTGTAATGCTCTTGTTCCTCTTGATGAATTTCCATCCAATAGTTCTCTCAACACCAAAAATCCACACTTTAAGTTAGGCGGTGCAGAACTCTAGTAAGAGCAAGAAATCCTGTCTGTCTAGCTATGCAGGGGACAACAATTTAATTCCCACATTTTTCCATGGATGTATGGTGAGTGGATTATTATTTTATTCTTTAACTTGGTAGGCAGGGGTCTATTTCTGAATGGTATGAAAATGTGTATGTATATATGTGTGTGTGTGTGTATAAAGGGCTTAGTCCATCTGTCCATCTGTCTGTAATGCTCTTGGAGCACACTGATTGGTTGTCTCGGCAGCCAATTACAATGCTTACTGAAACAGAGTGCCCCAGGTTCCATGGAGTGCCACCATGATGGCAGGGACGGAGGGGATGGAGCGAGGCGATATGGTCCCACCCCTCCACTCCAGTCCCTCTGTCCCCACAATCATGGTGGTGCTCTGCTATCCCTCTCCATCCCCGCTGTTCCCTCCAGCCCTGGAAGCAGAGGCAGTGCAGAGTGCTGACAGAGGTGGACAGAGGGGACAGAGCGACAAACTCCCCCCACCTGCCTTCTGCTGGGAGGCAGTGGAGGCTCAGGGTTGTGGGTGGTGAAGCTCCTTCCTCCCCTCCCCCTGTCATTCTTGATGGGCAATTCACATGTGTATGCGTGTGTGTGTGTGTGTGTGTGTGTGTGTGTGTGTGTGTGTTATGTTCAAAGAAACTGTAGCTTAGCATATTGTAGAACAATATGTACAATTCTGGTTACCAGTCTTCAAGGAAAAAACAAACAAACCCTGCCACAGATACAAAGAAGTGCTGTTAGGATAAGCAGATGATCAGCCTAAAATAGTTTACTTTGTTTAGCCTAGGAAAAAAGGCTGAGAAAGAGAAAGGATTGTTCTCTATTAGTAAACCAAGGGTACAATCAAAGGAGGCAAAAGGGGTTTTAAAACTAAACGTCAGCACATGAAAATAAATTTGTATAGATTGGCCCAAAATAAATACAAGCTGAGCCTCTGAAGCAGACTTCTAGCTACTCCATGTCTCAGGTTCTGGTCCAGACTTCCAAGAACTATAAGTGAAACAAACATAGCCTGAAGATTGAGCCTGACCATTTCTGGAAAGGGAATATATGATGTGACTGCACACTGCCCAGAAGCTGTTCTTGATGGCTCAGGACCCATTCGACTCCTCAGTTCTTTGGGTCAGACCCCAAAAAGAGTTTACGTACCAAAAGGGGGACCTTGACAAAATGCAGATGGCTAAATCCAACCTATAATCACAAAATGCTCTTCAGAGTTGTGACCTTGTCCTGGAGGTGCCAAAGCCTTAAAGGACATGTCTCTGTTGAAGCTTAAGTTTGCCAAATGCCCAGAAATGCCCCTCCCTGCTGGCCCTGACAGCCCCAGCTTTGACAGTGACAAGTATCTCTGCATGGAGATCACATCTGACCCCTGCAAGGATTAAGGAATTGTGTGTTCAGGAATTGTGTGTTCGTCTACTTAAGCTTCCTGAAGAGCCAAAGCTGGTGGTTGTTCTTCAAGTGTTGTCTAACATACACACACACTTACTTTTTTTCTCACAACAAGCCATGGTCATTAGCTCAGTTGTTAAGCATTTACCCAGGACTTGGGGTACCAGCATTCAATTCTCTCCTGTGCTTTAAGAGCAAAAATGAACACCTCCTTAGAGAGTGTCCAAATCATCTAGGTCAGGAATCTGTACCCTAATGTTCAGGGTGTTCGGTTTGTAGGCGTCTCCTCAATTTTGGTCCCCATGGTCTCACTTTCAGATCTGATCCTCCCCTATCCCAACCTCCAAGGACATTTAACATAGAATGCAAAAGCACTCTTTGGGGAAGGGACCAAAATCAAGGGTTTCCTCTTCCCTGGTCAGTCATTTTCCCTTTTCTGCTCTCTGGTTTATAATCCTCGAAGTCTATTCTGCACAGATTCAACAAAAGGGTTGGGAATTATGCTCTTTGTTGAATGTCATTGCAATTTGGTCCTTATTCCCACCAAAGTCTCTGTGCTAGGAGAACTTGAAAGCCTGGATTTCAAACATTTCCTCATTGCCAATGCTATCATTAATAAAAATATTCAGGGCTGGGTAAAGATGCCATTTGTTTTGTTTTTTGTTAGTTTGGTTTTTTTTTTTTTTAATGATTTGTAATTTTGGGGATTTTGCTCTTGCTTTCATTTTCTTTTAGTTGCCTGGGATTTTAGATCAGATAAAAAGCTATATTCAAACCTTGAAAGATGACCGATGCTAGAAAACAGATAAACTCTCTCAGTAGTTTTGTAGAATTTTTAATTTTGTTGTAGAAAGTCATGGGAATTTTAAATGGCATGTGTGTTTTCTTATGGTTACCTATTCACTGAAAATTTGGCAATTTGAATGAAAAAAAAAATTCCATAGAAAATCCATGCTTCTCTGAGGTCCTCAGCCTTTTCTCTTGTACTTTATGGTAATTGTGAAATATTGGCTGACATATGTTTTAGCAAGCACTCAGTTCCCTAATTAATGTCTAAGCGGTTTGTGTTTAGAATTTAAGATACATTCATGCTATGTGTAATATAATCAATATGACTAAAAATTATTCCAGAATGCTGGTGATGAACTGAAGAATGTGTATAACAAATTAAGATGTGATGATAAAACAGTTTTAATGAAAGATAAAAGAAGAAAAAATGTCTGGTTGATTTAATGAATAATTTTATTGAGAAACACATCCAGGAAATTATCAGGTTTTTTTTTAAATGACCAAAGCAAATCATGTGGGTTTACATACTTTTGGTCCTGGTCCTGCACCAAGATACATGTAAGATTCCTGCCATTTGTCCTGCCTTTGGATGTTAGAGGAGCTGCCTGTGTATAGACCCAGTTCAGTGATCTGGGCTTTCCAGTGCTGTTCTACTGTGAACTGTGGCCACATGCAATGGCATCTACTATTCAACCATCCAATTTCCTGAGTCCATAAAGAATAACATCTGGTAAGGCTTAAGAAAAAAGAAAGGAGTGAAAATCAATAAAATTAATGGAGTAGGAAACTGAGATAGATAGATAGATAGATAGATAGATAGATAGATGCAGAAAGCTCTGTGTGTGTGTGCATGTTATACATGGACTCAGTATTCCCTTTAAGGTACGTGTGTGTGTGGCCGTGCACAATTAAAAATCTTGCCGTGCATGAAATTTTTCATGCCACGCACCCACCCAGAGTGGAGCTAGGCGTGCACGGCAAAGGCACCAGGACTGGAGTGGGACACTCAGGTAAGCTCCTCACTGCAGGGCAGGCAGCAGCTCCTCCCCGAGATGAGAATAGGGACGGGAGCTGGGGCTGGGGGCTGGCGCGGGCTCCGCTGGCTCCAGGGAACTGCTCCGCACCCCCGCATCACCTCAGGGAGTGAGGAGGCATGTGACATCAGGGCTGGAGAGCGGAGCAGGTCTCCAGAGCCGGCGGAGCCCGTGGAGCACTGCTCACTAGCTACTAATGTACTAATGGAAAAATACTGAGCTCCGCAGCAAGCTGTTAGGGAAACAGAAGCCCTTCATCTAAAAGTTCTACACGAGGTACTAGAATTGCTTTTTATATTTAAAAAAAAAATCTGTATTTAAATTCAGAACTGAAGTGAGTCCAAGTAGAATATTAAAAACAACACTTGGTAATTTTTCCTCTTATAAACAGAGAAGAAATAGTTCTCTTATCATTTGTACTGCAGAGCACTGTACTTAAATCAGCATTTATGTTGGACAGTGATTAAAAATATATCAGACCCCCAAATGGAACAGATAAAAGTTTGGCTGTTGGTTATATTTTTAGCCTTGACAAAAAAATACTTCTCTTCAAAACCATTGTCTGTTCCTCACATCATAGATTTGGCACTTTACCCCATTATAGGGGGAGGGGGGGAGAAGGAAGACACTGTGCCGTAGAAATGTGGGAGCAAGCAGGATGACTACCCTGGGTGCTGAAACAAAGGGACTCTAACAGGTGCTGTCCAGACAGTGTGGGGCATGGGATGGAGCTGTAAGTAGCTCATTTGCGGGGCACAGGGATGTGGGGAGGGCAGCTCCTGCCACTGCACGCACAGGCAAGCATGGGGGGAACTGCTCCGTGGGCTCCACTAGCTCCAAAGTGGCACGCTCGCGAACAGAAGCGGCACGCTCATGGACCTCTACTCTTTAGAGGGAACATTGCTTGGACTAAAACCAAATTTAAAAAACTTAGATTTATGGTGACCTCGAAACCTGCTTCACAGTTAGTTTGAGTATTCAAATACTCCATGTAGCCTTGAAACTATCACCTCATTCTTCTGTCTATCTGTATTTCTTTCCATCCTATGGAAAGTCCGTTGACTCTAATTTTGATAATTCATATTCTCGCTGGTCACTACCTGGAAATGGAAAACCACACCACTGTGACTGAGCTTATTCTTTTGGGACTTTCCAGTGACAAACAGATCCAAATTTTACTGTTCTTTGTGTTTTTGGTGATATACCTAATCACTGTAGTGGGGAACACAGTCATCATGCTGGTGATAAGAGCTGATTCTAATCTTCACACCCCCATGTATTTCTTTCTGTTTCACCTATCCCTTGTTGATATCTGCTATTCCTCAACCATTGTCCCTAATATGCTGGTGAATTTACTAGCAAAGCATAAAACAATTTCTGTCAATGCTTGCTTTACCCAGATGTTCTTCATCTTTCTCTCAGCTAGTTGTGAATTATTCATGCTCTCAGCAATGGCTTATGACCGTTATGCTGCCATCTGTAACCCCCTGCATTATGCAAGGACTATGAACAAAAGAGTGTGCAGGCAGCTAGTGGGTGCTTCTTGGACAATAGGTCTTATACATTCCCTGGTCAATACAGTTCCTGTGTTCAAGCTGCACTTCTGTGGGCCCAATGAAATTGGGCACTTTAGCTGTGAGCTTCCCCCACTACTAACACTGTCCTGCACTGAGGCACATACCAACAAAACAGCTCTTCTTTCTTCTGCTATTCTAATTAGTTTTGGCACTTTCCTTCTGACACTGGTTTCTTACATCTGTATCATCTCCACCATCCTGAGGATACACTCTGCAGAGGGCAGGAGAAAAGCTTTCTCCACCTGCAGCTCCCACCTCCTTGTGGTGACATTCCTGTATGTAACAGCCTTTGTCCAATACATGAAATCCAGCTATGTTTCTTCACTGGTGCTAGATCAAGTTTTTTTCCATCCAGTACAGTATCTTAACCCCTATGTTAAACCCCATCATCTACAGTCTGAAAAATAAAGAAGTAAAAATGGCTCTTGGCAGAATATTAAAACTATCAATTTCTCAAAGTGTATAAACTGATTTTACAATTTTGAATCATTTCATAACGTTAACAAATACAATTTAAGGCATAGAATGTCAACTGTTTGGATATGTTGAATGCATATACCTGGATGATACTGGAACACAAAAGTCAATAAATATTATCATCAAAACTACCTTGGTTTGCAAATGCCATTAAATGTACAAATATAAAGGAAGAGAGGCACCACAAGAATTTTGTCTAGACTTTGAAAATAGTTTGTGTTTTAGTCACATTAAACTTGTCCGGACTTGCCAAAATGTATGAATAATTGTGACCATAAAATAAGCTTTTCTCAACATATGTCACAAAAGTGATTTAATAGACATGTTGTAGTACAAATACATTAGATTTTAGACATAAGGCTTAAAATTAGACATGATGCTTTATTTTTGCAATATGCTTCTGTATTCAACATGGCTTGCCAATAGCTTCTGCATATAGGCTAAAGGCAGCTTCACACATAGAGTTTCACAGTCGCACCTGTTCAATGACCTAGAATTACATGAAGATAAGGGGTTACTAAAGGACATTGAGCTTACCACAGCTTCCCCAACACGCATGTGCCTTCATCTATCCCATAATAAGTTGAGCCTAACTTAAAAGGTCCTGACATCCTGTGGAAACTTAGACGTAACGGTAAAATTGTGAAACTGCCAATAGTTATAAGACACGCTACAGTTCTTTGTTTAGGTAAGCTATAAAAAGACCCTCAGACAAAGACTGGGGGTCGACTCGGCT